ATGGTATCACTACTCCCATTACTGTTCCTGAGGGGTTTATCTGTTCTGGATTCTATGTGTCAAGAGCTCTTGTCTGTACTAGTGTACATGCTCTGGTCTAGCCAGAGTTGTGAGGTAGAACTGGGTCATGATAGGGGAGGGGATGAAGCATTAAAATCTGAATGTTGTGTGTTTCTGGCTGACTTGTCTCTTCCTTGTGACCCTTCTGTGAAGGGATGTCCAATTATCTACAGAAGGGCTTTGGGTCCCCCCACCCCACTCCCCACCCCCACCTCATTCACATTAATAAGATTTTTTGTTTTGGGTCTTTGATGTCTGAAACCTTATCCCATTGACAACTCCTGATCATGCAGGCTGGTGTGATTCTTCCACATGGGCTTTGTAGCTTCTCAGCTAGATGGCTGCTTGCTTATCTTCAAACCTTTAAGACCCCAGGCCCTGTATCTTTTGATAGCCGGGCACCATCAGCTTTCTTCACCACATTTGCATATGAACCATTATCAAGCACATTTATACATATGTTGCCCTTATCCTTTTCAAAACATTTTCTTTTGACTTGAGCCCTTGGTATCAGCTCCTCTTTTTCTCTCTCTGTCCCCCACTCTTCCCCTCTCATGAACACTTGATAAATTATAAGTTATTATTATTTTCATATCTCACATCGCTCACTGTCTTCCTTCACCCATGTTCCTGTTGTTCATCACCCTTGGGGTGGGGGTGCAGTTATAGGTTGATCGTTGAGTTTTTTTACCCCTTTCTGCTCCTTCCTTCCCCCTACCCTCATGGTATTACTATTCCCATTACTATTCCTGAGGGGTTTATCTGTCCTGGATTCTCTGTGTTTAGAGCTCTTATCTGTACTAGTGTATATGCTCTGGTCTACTCAGATTTGGCAGGTAGAACTGGGGTCATGATAGTGGCAGGGAAGGAAGTATTAAAGAACTAGAAGAATGTTGTGTGTTTCATCGGTGCGATACTGCATCCTGACTGGCTCATCCCTTCCTCGTGACCCTTCTGTGAGGAGATATTCAGTTGTTAACAGATGGGCTTTAGGTCTCTACTCCAACCTCCTTCTGTGGTTGGAGGGAGGGCCAGCCCCCCACCACTAATCACGGGTTCGGTAAGCACAATTGTACGGTTGAGATATATAAATATTATATTAAAGTCATCAAGAGCATGAGAAATAGATGAGAGATTGGAATAATGGAGTCAAACACATTTCATGGTAGCAATGCTCACCTCAGCCCCGCTTTATAGTCCACTTGGAGAGAGGGGGAAGGGAAGAAGGACAAGGGGAAAGGGAACAGGGGAGTGAGGA